TACCCCCTCCCTCCAACCCCTTCCTAGGCCGACCCCTACCCCGCCTTCCTTCCACTACAGACTGATACACTCTTGAAATCATTCTGTTCGCTCCATTCTCTCTACATGTCCGAACCACCTCAACAACCCTTCCTCAGCCCTCGGACAACAGTTTTGTAAACCCCCGCACCTCCTCCTAACTTCCAAACTACGAATTCTCTGCATTATATTCACACCACACATTGCCCTCAGACATGACATCTCCACTGCCTCCAGCCTTCTCCTCGCTGCAACATTCATCACCCACGCTTCACACCCATATAAGAGCGTTGGTAAAACTATACTCTCATACATTCCCCTCTTTGCCTCCAAGGACAAAGTTCTTTGTCTCCACAGACCCTAAGTGCACCACTCACTTTTTTTCCCCTCATCAATTCTATGATTCCCCTCATCTTTCATAGACCCATCCCTGGACACGTCCACTCCCAAATATCTAAATACGTTCACCTCCTCCATACTCTCTCCCTCCAATCTGATATTCAATTTTTCATCACCTAATCTTTTTGTTATCCTATAACCTTACTCTTTCCTGTATTCACCTTTATTTTCTTCTTTTGCCACCCTACCAAATTCATCCACCAATCTCTGCAACTTCTCTCAGAATCTCCCAAGAGCACAGTGTCATCGGCAAAGAGCAGCTTTTGACAATCCCACTTTGTGTGTGATTCTTTATCTTTTAACTCCACGCCTCTTGCCAAGACCCCGCATTTACTTCTCTTAAAACCCCATCTATAAATATATTAAACAACCACGGTGACATCACACATCCTTGTCTAAGGCCTATTTTACTGGAAAAAATTTCCCTCTTTCCTACATACTCAAACTTGAGCCTCACTAATCCTCGTAAAAACTCTTCACTGCTTTCAGTAACCTACCTCCTACACCAAACACTTGCAACATCTGCCACATTGCCCCCTATCCCACCTGTCATACGCCTTTTCCAAATCCATAAATGCCACAAAGACCTCTTTAGCCCTTTCTAAATACTGTTCACTTATATGTTTCACTGTAAACACCTGGTCCACACACCCCCTACCTTTCCTAAAGCCTCCTTGTTCATTTTGCTATCCTATTTTCCGTCTTACTCTTAATTCTTTCAATTATAACTCTACCATACACTTTACCAGGTACACTCAACAGACTTATCCCCTATAATTTTGCCCCTCTCTTTTATCCCCCTTTGCCTTTAAACAAAGGAAATATGCATGCTCTCTGCCAATCCCTAGGTACCTTACCCTCTTCCATACATTTATTTTAAAAAATTGCACCAACCACTCCAAAACTATATCCCCACCTGCTTTTAACATTTCTATCTTTATCCATCAATTTCCCCGGGTGCCTTACCCCCTTTCATTTTTACCTACTGCCTCACGAACTTCCCCCCACTCACAACTGGCTCTTCCTCATCCTACAAAAATGTTATTCCTCCTTGCCCTATACACGAATCACAGCTTCCTATCTTCATCAACATTTAACAATTCCTCAAAATATTTCCCTTTCCATCTTCCCAATACCTCTACCTCTCCATTTAATAACTCTCCTCTCCTATTTTTAACTGAACAAATCCATTTGTTCTCTAGGCTTCTTAACTTGTTAATCTCACTCCAAAACTTTTTCTTATTTTCAACAAAATTTGTTGATAACATCTCACCCACTCTCTCTTTTTGCTCTCTTTTTACATTGCTTCAACCACCTCTTAACTTCTCTCTTTTTCTCCATATACTCTTCCTCCTTGCATCACTTCTACTTTGTAAAAACTTCTCATATGCTAACTTTTTCCTCCCTTACACTCTCTTTACATCATCATTCCCCCAAATCGCTCCTTTTCCCTCCTGCACCCACTTTCCTGTAACCACAAACTTCTGCTGAACACTCTAACACTACATTTTTAAACCTACCCCATACCTCTTCGACCCCATTGCCTATGCTCTCATTAGCCCATTTATCCTCCAATAGCTGTTATATCTTACCCTAACTGCCTCCTCTTTTAGTTTATAAACCTTCACCCCTCTCTTCCCTGATGCTTCTATTTTTCCTTGTATCCCATTTTACCTTTTACTCTCAGTGTAGCTACAACTAGAAAGTGATCTGATATATCTGGGGGCCCCTCTATAACATGTACATCCTGAAGTCTACTCAACAGTCTTTTATCTACCAATACATAACCAACAAACTCTGTCATTTCGCCCTACATCATATCGTGTATACTTATTTTTCCTCTTTTTTTTTAAAAATGTATTACCTATAACTAAACCCCTTTCTATACAAAGTTCAATCAAAGGGCTCCCATTATCATTTACCACCTGGCACCCCAAAACTTACCTACCACACCTCTCTAAAAGTTTCTCCTACTTTAGCATTCAAGTCCCCTACCACAATTTCTCTCTCACTTGGTTCAAAGGCTCCTATACATTCACTTAACATCTCCCAAAATCTCTCTCTTCCCTGCATTCCTCTCTTCTCCAGGTGCATAAAACGCTTATTATGACCCTTCTCGCATCCAAACCTTTACTTTAATCCACATAATTCTTGAATTTACACATTCATATTCTCTTTTCTCCTTCCATAACTGATCATTTAACATTACTGCTACCCCTTCCTTTGCTCTAACTCTCTCGATAAATCCAGATTTAATCCCATTTTTTTTCCCCCCACTTTAAACTCTCCTCCCCCCTTCAGCTTTGTTTCGCTTGGGGCCAGGACACCAACTTTTTTTCATTCATACCATCGAAATCATCTGTTTCTTGTCATCCGCCTACACACGCACATTTAACAACCCAGTTTTATAAGTTTTTCTTCTTCTCTTTTTTAGTAATTTTATACAGGAAAGGGGGTTTTAGCCCATTTCTCCCGGCATTTTAGTCCCTCAACACACCATGGCTTAGGAGGAAAGTTTTTTTTTCCCCTTCCCCATGGACAATAGAAGAAAAAAAAAAACAAGAGCTATTAGAAAAAGGAAAAAAAACCTGATGTTTTATATTAATAGCAGTGCTGTCGTGAAGTGTGACCAAAGTAATAGGAGTAGCAAGTATCCCCGTTATCTTAGCGGTTTTTGAACAGAAAAAGAAACCACAATCCCACCATCATCAAAACGTTAAAGGGTTTTTGTTTTTACATCTCGGCAGGCGGGAGTATTCCCCGGGGGGTTGCTGTCTACCAACCCACACCTTGAAAACCCTTCACTAAAAATTCCCTGCTCACACCCAAAAGATCGTCAGGTCCCAATACCCTTCGTCTCCATTCACTCCTATCTAACACCCACGAACCTTGCTGGAAGCCAAGCCCCTCGCCCACAAAACCTCCTTTAAACCCCCCCCTCTCCAAACCCCTTTTTAGGGCACCCCTACCCCGCCCTTTCCCTTCCCCCACAGATTTTTGCTTTTCAGTCATTCACTTTGATCCATTCCTCTAATGACCAAAACCCCCCAAAAATCCCCCTTTCCCTCTGACTAATACTTTTTTTAATCCACAAAACCCTTTTCCCCAATTTCCACACTCCAAATTTTTCTGCATAATATTTACACCACACATTGCCCTTAGAAGGACATCCCACTGCCTCCAACCGTCTCCTCGCTGCGTTTCCCACCCAAGCTTCACACCTTACAAGAGTGTGGTACAATTTTTTTCCATACTTTCCCTTCTTTCCCTCCAAGATAATTTTTTTGGTCCACATATACCTCAACGCACCTTCCCTTTTTTCCCTCTAAATTTCAAAATTTAACCTCATCCTTCAAAAATCCACCCCCGACAAGTAACCCCCAAGTACTAAAACTTCACTTCTTTCCCTATCCTCCTCCCCAATTTGAATCCCCAATTTTTTTTTTATCTAAATCTTTGATACCCTCCACCTCTTTTTCTATTTCACTTTCAAATTTTTTACCTTTTACACACATTCCCAAACTCATCCACTAACCTTTGCAATTTTTTTAGAATCCCCCAAAAAACAGTATCATCAGAAAAAAATAAAATGTCAATTTCCAATTTTTTAGTTTGATTCCCCCAAAATTTTAAACCCCCCCTCCCCAAACACCCTCATTTCTTCTTTTTCAACCCCATCTTAAATAATTAAACACCATGGGGATATTAACATCCTATTTAAAGACCACTTTTACTGGGAAAGTATTCCCCCTCTCTACACACCCTAACCGAGCCTCACTTCCTCAAAAAACTTTTACAGCATTTGGAATTACCACCCATTCCAAACTTGCAACATTACCCCAAATTTCTCCCTATCCACTATCATATGCCTTTTCTAAATCCATAAATGCAATAAAAACTTCCCTACCTTTATCTAAATACTGTTCACATATATGCTTCAATGTAAACACTTGATCGACACATCCCCTACCCACTCTGAAACCTCCTTGCTCATCCGCAATCCTACATTCTGTCTTACCTCTAATTCTTTCAATTATAACCCTACCGTACACTTTTCCTGGTATACTCAGTAAACTTATTCCTCTATAATTTTCACAGTATGAATATCTGTATGAAATTATATTTCTGTTACAATGTTAGAAAGCTTCAACAAATTTTAGTCTTTTCTAGTATTATTCTACATGCCCTAATGAGGTTACCAGTATAAAACAATACTGTACTATAATCTGCAAAGGTCAATTTAACCATATAAAAACTTTTATGTAAAATGTTTGCTTATGAACACCTTAAAAGTCCAGATGTTACCTTGTATCTTTCAAGCTGATTGAAGAACGAAGCTCATTTACTAGAGCGTGCAATTGAAAAGTTATTGCTGCATTATCAAAAGATAAGCAAGCACACTTACCGCTGATGAGTGAGCAAAAAAAGCACTAGTTTGCAGCAACAAAAGAATTATCAAATATGTTAACATACTATATATAAAACAAGTATATAAATACAACTCATGAAAATTCATTACAAAATTATTAAACCAACAAGAATCATGTGTAAGCAGCCCTGTCTTTAAGGGATGGAGTACTCACGCGAGGCTGTGGATGACAGAGATGACTGTGCTGGAAGGGTGGCAGAGGTAGGGCGCCCTCGAGCTGCGCTGGATGCAGAAGTAGGGGTGGCGGGAGTGGAAGGGGGTCGTGGGGTGCTAGGTGCACTACCCCCTCGCACTGCGGCACTCTCATCATGCTCTACAACACAGCATATCATGCACATCATGCATCATGCATATATCATGCACAATTCTCTTAGTTCAATCATTTTTGTCTAGCTTACATCAATTTAACTACTGCAATTAAATAAATAACTAATGTGTGTATAAACAATAACAATTATGTCTGTAAAAATGCAAAGCTAATTACTAATAATGGTTTTACATACATTAAAAATAATTACAGTATACAAAATATTGAAACTAAAACAATCAAAAGAACTATACAAGTTCAGTACTACAAAATACACAAACTAAATTTATAAACACATTACACAGTGCTTCAAAGACAAAACACATCTCACCTTTATCCGAGAGACCAGAGAAATATCGACGTTAACCGTGCAAACCACCACCAGTCAGGCGAGAATTTTAAATTCCCACAGCAATTAGGTGGCAAAATGAGATCATACACCATAAAAGAAAAGTTGCCCAATATTTGCCACTAGTAACAAGCTAACGTTACAACATAGAAGACGAAATTCCCAACACAAACTGAAGATACCGCCAAAAGTAGGTCAAGACTTGGTTGTTATAGGAAACAGCAGCAGAAGAATAACAAACCATAACTCACCATCATCCATAATCCCAAGAACACAAATTTCACAAAAAACACATGAATATTCTTTCTAGTAGTACTGATTAGGATTTCATATACTGTGTCAATATCAGTTTAAGTTAGTAACTGTGAAACATACTAATAATAGCTGGGACAGTGACAATTTTATATTTTAATGAGGAATATATTTTGTTATGATGAATTCTACTGGCAGTTTTGTAAGCCTTCAAAAAGGAGTAATATTTACAAAAGAAAATTGCATTTGAAAATGCTTCTTGAGGATACGGCTGTATTTATTTTAGAGGCTTACCTATATTACAAATAGTGATAAAGCATCTTAAATTACATAACTACAAGAGGTAGTCATTAAGCTTTGTGATCAATAACACAAGAGGTGCAAAGCTTATCACACATGGCATTAGTAATTTGTCTTACCTCGGGGCAACGTATGTGGTTGGCCCTTGGAAGGAAGCACTGCTGATGGTGGTTCAACAGCTGACCATAAAATAATGTAAATAAACATCTATTCACCCATGTTCATGTGTATACCTATACTTGGAATGCAGCTTACCTAATTTTTTCCCCAAGAATATAAATACACTAACTATAGTAATCTGCCAATCAGTAATATCAACAAAATTAAAATTTATAAAATAAAGTTAAAACTACTTTGTTCAGTGAATCTACCAATTCTAACAAGATGACAAGGAAGTTCATGCTGTGCAGATTATGTCAGTCTGTAATGCACTTCAGTACATCTGCAGTGCATAACATATGCTTGTTCATTATGCTTGTGCTCAAAAACAATTTCACAAAAATAGAAAAAAAAAATCTGTCCCAGCTCCTATTTCAACATAATATTACTGTTAGGGAAATATTTATTGGCAAACATTTCAAAACCACAAATGAATTCTTGCTTATGAATGATCCCATGCAAGAAGTTAGCTCTACTATTATTCACTTATTTTGTCTTGCTCATTCACAAAAACACACCCACACACAAACAAGTGATCACACAAAAGCAAACATGCATGTGCATGCATGCATGCATGCCCCCCCACCCCCCACATACAAACATAATACAGGTGCACACCCTCCACCCACTTGTGCACGCACACACACAGTAGATATCCCATAATAAATAATAATAAAAATAATGTAAGTAAAATAAATCAACATTTACTAGTAACATATTAGTAATTACTAACATGACTGAAACTTAACAGTCATGGACTGGTGCATCAGATTTTCTTCTGATGTGTTTGCTTTCCATGCATTTGTACCCCAAACCATCTGAATCACTAATAATCAACCACAAATCCATTCATCCCATTACTTTTATCTAAACACATGACCCATAATTCAAGCATTCCAGCAAGTGTCATCAATAGATCATCTCAACTGATGCAATAGGCCAGGATGATGGGTCATATCAGCAAAGGTACAATAGCTGATGCCTCCACCCTACAAAACAAGTGCTTGCAGGCCACACTTTTCAACATAGCATAGCTGTTACCCATAAGCAGACCAAACATGCATAGTTTACCTTCTCGTGATTCATCATGCTCTTCTCCATTGACATGGAAGTCTTCTGCTGTACCATCAACTCTGAAATAAGGAAAAAAAAAAAAGTTTTACCAAGTCAAATTTGGATGCAACTACAAACAGTTGATACTGTACGCAGTCCCTTTGTCTGATGCCCAAAAATTGCCATGATATAGACGTGAGGGATTTCAATTCACAGTCTTCAAATACTGCACAAGAGTTTACTGTTCAACTGTGTTCTGTACAAATATTTGTGCGTGGGATTTATAGTCACTTAAAAGACAAGGTTACCATATTTTTCTGTGCATTATCTGAAACTGATAATGTCATCACAGGAGTATGGGGTAGTACTTTACTGGAGGAAGGAGGGAAGGGTATAGAGAAGAAATTTGCCCAGATTTCCATTACAAATACAGTGGGACCTTGGTTTTTTGCCATTAATTCGTTCCAGAATGTCTGACGAAAGCTGAAGCCATATTTCCCATAAGAAATAATGTAAATCCAATTAATCCATTCCAGACACCCAAAAATATTAACAAAAAATACATTTTACAGAGAATAACTATAGTTTTACATACAGAAAAAATGAGAAATAAATATAAAGGAATAATGAAATGGATAAATGAACATTTAACATCACTTTTACCTTTATTGAAGACTTGTTGGCTTACGGAAGACAGCGAGGAGGGGAGAGGGAGGAAGAGAGGTTATTGTTTGGAAGGGGAATCCCCCTCCATATGGACTTCAGGTATCAAGTCCCTATCCAAGGTTACTTCCCTTCTTTGTCTTTTACTGGCACTAGGACCAGCTCAAGTCGCTATCCCTGTCGCACAAAAAATCTGTCCTGAGGTCTGTTTCTGGTGGCACTAAGATTTGCCTAGAATGGGACAAGGCATTGACATTGAACATGTTGCAGACATGGCTTGCAGCAGCTTTGTTAGGGTGATATTTCTCCACAAAACTTTGCAACTCAATCCACTTTGCACACATCCTTAACCACTGAAGAAGGCAGTCTCCCCTCTCTCTTCCTCCTCCTCCTCCTCTGAAGCAATTCTATCATGTTTCTCACTTTCTTTATCAAAGGGCTGGCACTCGGAACTTTCTTTGGCCCCGTGGTGGCTTATTTAGCATCACACTCAATAAACAAGCACAAAAAACAATGGATTATTAAAAAATGTTTTGTATGAACACACAGGGTAATGTTCACTCGATAAGAAACAAAGCCAGACCGACTCAGAATGTATGCATGGGATGCTTTGTGTGGGCACAGGCAGGTGGACACGTTCGGTACAGCAGATGAAAACCGAGGTGATGAACGAAAACTGGGAAGGAAAAAAAAAAAAAAAGAATCGTCAATAACAGAATTCGACAAAAACCAGGGCAAACGAAAACCAAGGCTCCACTGTGCTAAATGAAGCACAAAAGTTACAGTATGAGCAACTAACAATGTTAAAAGTCCCTTTTTTAATGTTTATGAACAAGAGATGTACAACATTTGGGTATTCATACTGCCAAAAATGTTTTGCCTATGCAGAAGCCTGCTTCAGTTAAACACAGGTCATAACACTGAAGATAGTAAAGAAGTAATTTTGAGGTGATCAGTCCCTCAGCCTTCATAGGTGGAGACCAGTCCCTCATGAAATATGCCGTATATTATGATTTCTGCTGCACTTAAGTTTAAAACAAGTTTTATAAATCATAAACAATAACTAGAATAGGTTTAGGGATGGCAAATCTTTTTGTACTAACTTGGAGTTATATGACAAAGGAACAGATATGCAATAAGAAAGAGGGTGGAGTGAATTGCAATTTTTTTTTTTTACAAGAAGTGTGACACTTTACTCCACAAAAAAGCTGGGCTATAATCTAAGATTCAGGTGGGAATAATAGGGAACATCCTCCAGTGGATCAAAGAGCATCTCTGGGAAAGGAAGCAAAGTGCAACTGTCAGGAGAGAGACATCAGAATGAAGACGAGTAAAAAGCAGAGTTCCACAAGAACTGGTATTGGGGCCAGTTCTGTTTCTGATTTATGCAAATGATATTCCAGATAGGATTGATTCAGATATAACCCTGTTTGCTAATGATAGACTAATGAGAATGAAAACAGAGGACAAGGAAAAGCTCCAAAAGAATCTGGATAAATTGCAAGAGGGGTCAGATAACTGGTTCCTTGAATTCAACCACAGTAAATCTAAGGTCATGAAGATTGGGAAAGGAACAAGCAAGAAGGCCAGAAATGGGGCAGAGACTAAGGGGTAAGAAGCTGCAATCTTCACTCAAAGACAAAGACCTAGAGGTGACATAGTACCCAGTATAATGCCAGAGGCTAGCATCAGCCGAATAACTTCAGCAGTCTATGCTCGTCTGGGCCCTTTAGACAACATGAATTACACCTATCTTGTAGTATGCAGCACCAATATGGAACCCACACGTGAAAACGCATTAAGAAACTGAAGGAAGACAGTGCAGAAGTACGGAACAAGGACTGTTCCCGAGTTAAGGGACATTAACTATGAGGAGAGGCTAACAGAATGGGACAGTGACATTGGAGGATAGAAGAACCAGGGGGACATAACATAGAAAATATAAAGGAAAATTGATGAGGTGAACAGGGACAGCCTGTCTGAGAGGCAAGAAACTAGAATGCACAGATACTGTTAGAACTTGAAGGCACACATGAGCCAGGATGTTAGGAAGTACTTCTTCAGTCTCAGAGTGGTCAGGGAGTAAAATGATCTTGGCTACTCACCCATCTGGTGGTTGATCAGGTGACTGTGGAGGAGGAGCAGCTGCTAGTCTTGCCAGCTCCTCTTGTCTTCGCCGCTCTTCTTCCTCCTCCTCCTGTTTCCTCTTCAACTCCTTTAGTTCATACTGCAAAACAAGATTTATGTAGGGGTACATCAAAAAATATTACAATGACACACAAAAAAAGACAGAAGTATTTCAATTACAAAGTCAACATACCAAACCATTATTTTTCAAAATATATTCAAACTCATACCAAGACATTTGACTTCAATTAATTTTTATATTAACTGTCAGGTAACCCCTTTTCAGATATCTATAAACAGAGAATATTTTCTTTACAGAGAAAATATGAGAATTCAGTGTTAAATAACTTTTTAAGAAAAAGTAAAAAAAATACATACATAGGAAAATATTTTAGAACTCTCAGTTTCCTTAAGGGAGAAATGCACAAATACTAACAAAAACACACAGGTATTGACAAGTAATACAGAACCGTACATACAAGACAAGAAACACAAAATCTACTTTACCTCTACACCAGACAGAGCATGCAGGTTATTTCTTGCAGGGTGTTTAACATTTAACAGCTTAGGAGAGGAATCACAAGTATTGGGTGGAGTGAGGGGAAAAGGTGATACAGGAGAGGGGCACCCCTGTACATTTTTCAGGTCTAATTTTCCCACTAAGTGATCAACATTACGTATACTATCCCTCAAGCCATCAGGAGGGGGAATAACAGAATAATAGCTCATGATGGAATCATTATCAGAGCAATACTGAGCACAATAATTTTTCTTAGTAAGCCTCTGATTTGGGGAATCTGCAAAGGTAGTTTTACCAGACTTTACACTCAAGAGCTCTGACTTCTCATCAAGCAGACTTTCACTGCTCCAGTACTCAACTGATCTGGGTGGGTCAGTCAATTCAGTAATTTCTGATCCCTCACCTTCTATTTCATAAATGGGTGGGAGAGTAGTACTATCCTCAGCTGTGTCTGTATAACCATATATCTGACTTTTTCTGTGTGCTTTATAACTACTTACTGGATCAATCATCTCTTCCCCCTCCATTTCATTAATACAATCAAGCTCTGAGGCATTTCTAAATTCTATACCATATGAGCAAAATTCGGATATTCTGTCAATAGACTCCTCTAGATATGGAGCTTCATATTCATCCACACTAACAAATTCACAAACTGAACTATTGGATTTACTATCACAACCTCCATCTGGAATACCTAGATGGGAAAATTCACTGTCTCTATTTTCTACTTGTTGGGACTGACTGATCGATGTGGATGTGCTATTATATGAAGAAAGTTTGGAGCTAATTTGTAGTGAATTACTAGGCGGAGCACTAGTTGGACGCCCTTCATAATAATTGCAACGATGATTTAACATGTCTGCAAACAAACTGTCTGTATCCAAATCTTTTGTGCGTATAGTTTCAGACAGTTGTGGATTTGAGGTGGAACTCAATCGTCTCCGGTGTTTTTTTAAAGAATTCCTAACAACAGGCTTAGCTAGCATATTTTCTGACAATACACGAGAACTGTTTTGCCTAGAAGTGTGCAACTGCGTTAAAGCCGGACAAGAAAATGCTGTGAAATATGCATGTACAGGGGTGGGGAGTGAGTGGCGCGGAGAGAGGGTGGGCGAGGTGAGTATGGAGGAAGATAGATGCGGTGTACACTGATTCCATCACCACTGTTAGCTCGTGGTCTTGCATCAGTTACTTTAAGGGCTTCAAGCTGTCCATCACCACAAAAACAAATTAGCATGCATTTAAAACAGAATCAAGCAAATTCTTTAAACATAAATAAAAGTTTTAGAAATCGTACACACAAATAGAGCACCATATACAAATGTTCTAAAACTGAAAAAAATTTCAACAAATGTTAGAATTTGTGTGTAAATGTTGATAAGTAGCCACCCAAGAAAGCTGAACTACAAGGGGTTCAAGTTTAAAGTAAACCAGAAAGTTGATTATGTATACATGCAAGTGATATAAGGGATGAAATGTAAAAATTTAAGACTATGGCTTTTACATAGGATAAATACACAAATATTTAATTAGGGATTTTGAAAGCATTGAAGCAGCTATATATAAAGTATATAATTAGTTCCATCCATGACTGTAAATATAAATATTATGAAAACATTTGTTAACAATTTTCTCAAAGTTAAAAATCACACCGGAAGCAAATCTCTTTTATAGAGAAATTTATCAAAATGTTACATTTGAAGAGCATGACTATTATACTGTATGCATTTCTTTGTCATCAGTAATCCCTTGATAATATAACTCGAGTGCCAACATATTCATGCAGTATATCAAGAGGAATATAAATTAGCAACTCTACTACAAGTATTAAACCTAATTTTTTTAACAGTAGCACTTGCACAGTAATCTAAAAGCACCTCATTAATACCAAGAAAACTATAAATCACTGCCGGTTAAAGTACTTCACTGTTCACCAGCTAGGGAAAATATCAATTTTTTTTGTTCTAAATACTGGTATGTGTAAATGGTGTTTGCATGCACTATACACACACACACACACACACACACACACACACACACACACACACGTTATCTGCACACAACTACAGTTATCTGTTAAAACAATCGTTATACTGATGAAACATGTAAAAATAGTACTGTTAAAATACACAAATCTAAATTTGTATCTAAAATAACAATCACAGACTGGCAAAACAAACCCATTAGAATCTACTGAAATTACATAACATCTCAATGACTAGAGTAAGAATGACACTGCAAGATATTTTATCTACTGTTTCCATTACATACACAGCTTAAAGTGGTGGAAGGAGTACTTCTTTCTAGAGCCATATATAACACTATACCAAATGAATGTGTAATCACAATGGCACTATTGGAGGGTCCACATGAAAATAAAACATGGAGTTTCCAAATTTTTGGCTGTATTTCAATTGAAAGACATCCTCCAAGCCCTGAGAATGTATGAAATACAGATGCAAGCCTGAAGCTTCACCTTTCATGTTCATGTACCATGTGAATTATTCTAAAGCCATCTGCAAACATCCTTTTGGAATGTTCACTCATTGGCACAAAACACTGAAAAATCAGGCTATTATCATAAATAGAGAAATAATGAAACACTTATTATTTTTTTAAGAACTTCAAAGGATTTAGCTGGTTTCTGTGCATGTTGTAGTGCATTCAAGAAATTTATTAAATATTTCAAAGTTAAGGTTCTTTCTTTCTTTCAACACACCAGCCATATCCCACTGAAAAGTTAAGGTTATCAAAAAATATACACACACACACCACCTTAAAACAGTTTAAAAGAAATCTTATAACCTTAAGGGTAAAATATTTTTTTTCATACCCAATGTACTCCTGTAAACAAGACTTACAGGTACTGTAATTGTCTTGAGCATTACATAACAATGGCAGGTTTCAAGGTTGTTCTAAATTACCACTTATCCAACCACCATCCCACTTGATACTAAGCTCCTGTCTAATTTAAGACGAACATGATCCCCAGAATCCTAAGTAGCCAATTTTTGGGAGATTAATGTTTCTTCTTTCAACAAACCAGCTGTATCCCATCGAAGCAGGGTGGTCCAAAAATAAAAACAAGTTCCTCTTTTTAACTATAGTAATGTATACAGGAGAAGGGGTTACTAGCCCCCTTGCTCCCGGCATTTTAGTCGCCTCTTACGACACGCATGGCTTACGGAGGAAGAATTCTGTTCCACTTCCTCATGGAGAAGATTAATATTTATATAATTTTACTTGATCATAACAAATCCTTAATATTCAGTCTTTAGTAAGCAATGGCCAAAGAAGTGAGGGACTTTTTTTTACTATTAGTGTAATGGGAAAACCATTTTTAAAATTGATAATCCACACTGAAAATTGCATCCTTATTAATGAACGCATGTATGAAATCCAATGGAGAAAGTACAAGAGGCGAGACGATTACAGTATAGTATACTGCAGCCTCGCACTGAAATGCTTTGCAGCAGACATTACAGAAGGCCAAAATATACAGTACTGTAATCACTTTCAGTTTTATTTTCTCTGTAGGTTTGTACCTGTGACTAGTGTTTATTATAATGGTGTATATGCATATGAATGAAAGAAGCTTGTGCAATTCAATCAAGTCCCACAATCCTTCTGGCAGTGAGTGTTTGCCCAACTGCCTACAACACAAATAGCTTTGTTCATAAAGGATAAAACAGCTCAAATTAACCTTCCATTTTGCTTGACAAATAAAGATTTTAGGACCCCAAATGTGTGATTGCTCTTGTAATTCTTGAAGGTAAAAAGAAAGAAAAAAAAAATATACGAAAACCCATATTGGTATTAACTTATAATACTGTACAAAAAGAACAATACAAATTTAATATGACAGAATATAGAATTCATAATTTTGGAATATCCTTTGTGCTAATAAACTATTATATCCTTCATGAGCACTGCCATATATCGAACATTCACCGGGTCATCATCTGTGTAGCGTTGACCATAGTAAAGAGCTCGGCCTTGCTCATCAGTTAGGCCTAGTCGCTTATCCTGTTCCCGCAATTCCAGCTATCATCCAGGCAACATTGAGTATCAGTTTTTATGATCAACACTTACTGCTAAAAATTACATAACAAAACTTCATTTACTTAGTATTTCATCCTTGATTATTAAGCAGATTCAATAATGACCAAAAATTTGCAAAGTACATTAAAAAACCATGAAACTGGAAATTTCTAATAAATTTACATGGTAAAACTTTATATTTTTTTGTCAACACTGCTATGTAAATATAAATATTCTAAATGGAGATCTGAATTATAGGCAAAGTGACTTTACAATAACCAACTTCAATAATGATTTAAGTATTTACTATTAAAACCAAGTTTAGAAGAATTGTTATCATGACTAACAAATGACAAACGTGCCATAAGCCATCTAGTTTAAGCTGTAAAATAGAGTATATGATACATACAGTGCTAGTGCCTACCGATGTCGCTACTGGGCAATCTTTTTTTTTTTTTTTTTTAAATTCAACATTTCCCACCTAGGTGGGGTGAGTGAAAGAACACACATTCACCATCACTCATTCAATAGCTGTCTTACCAGAAATGAAAGGACATCACAATCCAAACAACTAATTGAACAGCAACATTCCCACCCACCCTACAGAATCCTGGCATTGTAGCACAGGATTATGTATTAAGTAAATTATCAATCATTACTGTCTCAATAAATAAGCTTTATTCTCCAGTCAATGGCATAAATGTACACCATTTTAAACTTAGCATGCACATTTATGTTTGATAGATTTGCTGAGAACATACTACTGAACTTAACTGATTTTCACTTTACAGGATTGTAAGAAGTACAACTTACCGTCGTTAGTCTTTCTAAGGCAGCAAACCGTTCTTCCTGGGCTGAACATGCCTTATCAAATGCCTCATGCTTCTTGATAAGGTTTTCAACATCATCAATGGATCTCTAGAAATAAAAAAAAAATTAATGAAAATATATAAAAATAACGAGAGTACCATATACAGTGGTACCTAGAGTCACAAACTTAATTCGTTCCAGAAGGCTGTTCGAGTGCCAATACCAAACGAATTTGTTCCCATAAGGAATAATGTAAATTAGATTAGTCCATTTCAAACCCCCAAAAAATACACTTACAAAAGCACTTACAAAGATACACTTACATAATTGTTTGAGTTGGGAACTGTTCGAAACTCAAGGTACCACTGTATAAAAAAAAAAGTATTGATAGTTGTGTGGGTCAAATTTAGGCTCTATATATGATACAGATTAAAACGAAGCCAGCTTTCAGGCAGATTTTAAACAAGAAGTGAAACTACTCTGTACTAAAAAATACATGAGTGTAGTTAACTAACGTAAGTGTTCGAGGCTGACTATTACACAACCTCAAACACTTATAAAATGTTATGTTTACTATTTTCATCTAAATGGAAAATATATTATACTGCATTACCACCCACAACAGTCTTAAGAATTGTTAGTTTTATATTTTACATTATTCATAACAATATGTTTGGAATATGGTATGTTATTAACTAAGGCGGGGTAGGGATCATCCTCGAAAAGGTTGGAGGGAGGGGGTAAAAGAGGTTTTGTGGGCAAGGGGCTTGGACTTCCAGCAAGTGTACATGAGTGTGTTAGATAGGAGTGAATGGAGACAAATGGTTTTTGGGACCTGATGAGCTGTCGAGTGTGAGCAGGGTAATATTTTGTGAAGGATTCAGGAAAACCGGTTAGCTGGACTTGGAAATGGGAAGTACAATGCCTACATTTTAAAGGAGGGGTTTGGGATATTGGCAATTTGGAGGGATGTCTAAGCTGTTGTATCTGAGCGCCTCCGCAAAGACAATGATTATGTATGAGCGATGGCGAGTGTTAAATGATGAAAGTTTTTTCTTTCTTTCTTTCTTTTTGGGACACCCTACCTTAGTGAGAAATGGCAGTGCTTTAAAAAAAATTTAACACACTGGCTGTCTCCCTCCAAGGCAGGGTGAGCCAATAAACACTTTCACCATTATCACAGTATTAGTGTCTTGCCAGAGATGCACAGACACAACAGCTTAAATGTCCCTCTAAACTGTAAATATCTTAAGACTCATCATTAAGAGTCTAAGATATTTGTACTTCCCACCTCCAGGACTAAGTCCAGCTAAACAGTTCCCCTGAATCCCTTCACAAAAATATTACATAGCTCACACTCCAAAAGCTTGTAAAGTCCCAAACCCACTTGCTGTGATTAAGAAAGCAAATCAGTGTTTTGTATAAAAAAAAATTAAAATTTTTACAATTTAATACTGACCCCATACTCTGTAGATAAGAGGTAAGGCTCCTGAGCAATAAGCCACTGCTCTGCTACAGATGCATCACGAGCAAACTGGTACACCTCCAAAACTAAAAAGAAGAAAAAACTTGTATAGCCTAGATTTCAAATTTGTAGCCATGCAAGTTCTAACTCTCATTTGCGTAGCAGGAGCTTACAAAGAAGAAACCTAATTACATCTAACAAACAGGAGTGCTCAGCCACTCCTGCTGCTCATTAATAATTCAAGCATCATCCCAAACCTTCTGAGGCAGTCCAAGTTAACCCTTTCAGGGTTGAGAGGCGCTCTCCTCAACTTGTTCTTAGGGTCGAAAATTTTTCAGAAAAAAAAAATTGTTTATTATGAAAAGATAGAGAATCTTTTCCCAATCATAATGACACCAAAAGTACGAAATTTGATGGAAAACTTATGGAATTATGCTCTCGCGAAGTTAGCGGTCTCGACGATGTTTACGCAAAGGCGATTTCGCCCACTTTGAGCCCTATTTTCGGCCAATTCCAGTGTACTAGTCGACAAAAATCATAACTATTTCGCTAGAACTCCATTTTTTCTATTGAATGAGTACAAGAAACCACCAATTTACTGATTTCAACTATCCAATAAAGTGGTCAGAAATTAGCAATTTTGCCAATTTCACACAAATTTCAAAAGATGCCAATTTCCAAAAAGGTCCTAGAATAAACAAGACAGACATTCCTGGCACTAAAATAACATTTCCTATGTTCATTAGTCACGTCCCCAGCCCCCTCTTACATTTCTTTTGCTTTCCACTTTGAATTTTTATTCTCACAAAAAATAGAAGATTTATTGTTATGCAGACTACTGCATTAGTGTAGAAATGGTATAAATAATATCAGCGCACTTGTGAAAGAATATTAGACTCGCCAGTTGAAGTGTATTGGGCGCGTAGTATGATTTGTTTACTTTTGAACTTTGGCAAAAATCAAACATTTCTGCTACTTTGAGCTCAATTTCAAGGTACTTTTCATTGTGAAACCAATCAAAATCATCTCAATTTCTGTAATATGTCTTCCATTCTATAAAATGAGACCAGGAAAACTAGAATACTACCATACGAAAATACAGTGCAAAGTTGCTGTTTTAAACCAAAAACACGGTCAAAGTTTTTTCTTTCTCATTACGCACTGTGTGCTGCAGGATTTTTTTTAGACTGTGCACACTGACCACATAGACCCATTCCTTCATATGTAGGCCTACCAGCTTTCTCTTCCTAGATTTGAAGGCGCTAGAATTTCGGCGTACTAGTACGTCAATAACCCTGGTGCGTAAGCCGTACTAGTACGTCGGAAACCCTGAAAGGGTTAATATGCTCTTCAAAATTATGTAGTCCTTACTAAATGTGCATGATCTCACTGCACAAGAAAAGAATAGATTCCAGAAGTTACAATGTTTAGCAAATAAAATGACACCAGAATCATATGTTCTTTACTGTTTTTCTTTAAAATGTTTTGAATGCTACACTGATATAAATTACACAATTTTTTTTTTAAATGTTTTAAAAATGTTCAAAACATCTATATACATGTATATACCCTTGCACTTTCTGAACTGAAAACTAATACCAACAGACCAGTCCAAGTTTGATATTCACCATGTGACAAAGTATAATAAAGAAAAATATATACACAGTATCATTGTATTTCAAAAAAGTAAAACTGATTTTAATTTTATTTTTGTGGAATAAACAGAATTCGAACCAGAGGTCTGGTGTGCTAATCCTACCTGTGACCAGCTTCAAAGGTTTCTACCCTCAACCCAGCTTGTGCCAGGCTTTTCTTCCGATTGTTTCTTCAACAGTGTTAGCTAATACAGTTGAGGAAATATCCTCACCACTTCACGCCAAGAGAGATGCTGGGGCTCTCAAGTAAGAACCCTATGGGAAGAGCGGCACACCTCCCAGAGAAGAGGGCCCATACTCCAAGGCACAAGTCACTCAAACCTCCATCAATGTATAAATTAATGTTTAATATTAAGGTATTTTTAAGTGAAAAGTACAGCACTTTATGTATAGTGGATAAATATTCTTGGCTAAAAAATGAAATTATGTATAGAATACTGTACTGTATTATGACTTGGAAATGCATCTCTAATTATAATATGGATGCATTTGGAAAAAATTGAAAAAATAGCTTCTGAGTTCCAAGACTTGGCTTACAAAGAATTTTCAAGAATACACTAATGTTTTGACCCTTTCACTGTCGGTGTATTTTTGTATGGTATTTATGGTTGTAGTCTCGTTTTCTTGGTCTCACTTGACAGAATGGAAGATATATTACAGAAATAGAGATGATTTTGATTGGTTTCACGATGAAAAGTACCTTGAAATTGAGCTCAAAGTAAAGGAAATGTTCGATTTTTGCCGATATTCAAGAGTAAACAAATGATGTCACCATCCAATATGTGTCCAACTGGCCAGTCTAATATGCAGTCACGAATGGGTTGGCATTATTTATACAATTACTACAATAATGCAGTAGTCTGCATAATAGTAAATCATCTATTGTTTTTGTGCGAATAAAAATTCAAAATGGAAAGCAAGAGTAAGATAAGAGGGGCCTGGAGACGTGACTAAAGAACAGAGAATGTTATTTTAGTGCCAGGAATGTCTGCATTGTTTATTCTGGACCCTATTTTGAAATTGGCATCTTTTGAAATTTGTGTGAAATTGACTAAATTGCCAATTTCTGACCACTTTATTGGGTAGTTGAAATTGGTAAATGGGCAGTTTCTTGTATTCAATTGATAGAACAAATGGAGTTCTAGCAAAACAGCTATGAGTTTGGTCGACTGGAACAATGGAATTGGCCGAAAATAGGGTTCAAAGTGTGTATATATCGCCGAGACCGCTAACTTCGCAAGAGCGCAATTCCGTAAGTTTTCCATCAAATTCTGTACTTTTGGTGTCATTTCCACTGGGAAAAGATTTTAAATTTTTCAAAATATTTTTTTTTTTTTTTTTTTTTAATTTTTCACACTCGACAAATTTGGAGCAGGGGGTCTTGACTGTGAGGGGTTTTAAGTTGGGGCCCTACTGCTTTGCAACTCTTAAACTTACGAGCGCGATGCCCCTCTTTCTTCCCAACGCTAAAGCATATTATGCGTGGTTGAAAGGGGACATAGTTTCCCCTTAAAATTTCTGGATTGCATAATGATTGGGGGAAAAGTGGGCCCTTTCCAAGAGAACACATACATTAAATTTGTTTCCAGCATCACTTCTGCCTTCAACTTTGATGGTTTGTTCTTTAATAATCCACACCTTTTTCATCCCTGTGAAAGAAAATCAGTTTTTTCTGGTAATTATTGAGGTATACAACACTTTAAAAAATTTAAAAAAGACATGATTTGCTCATTTTATCATCACAGTTTTCTGGCATAAAAAAATTAAATAAAATCTCAAAAATATTTAGTTCTGTAAATTGAAATTTTATTCACAAACACGCAAACCTCAACAGGGAAAAAGGAAAACCCTTATTCTTACCTGGTTTTTTCAGTATGTTCATCTGTCTGAAAACTCATCCTCCCAATATAAGTGTGCGCACCATGTTGAAGAATTTAAAAGATCTCCTGTGTCTGAATTTTTAAACTCTTCATCTTACACATCCTTGCAAATTCAACCCTGCTGAAAAACCCCTTCAGCTTTTCTGTTAGTAATTTCACGGGGTTTATCCCTGCATATCTGCTTGACTTGGAAGTCTTCCTGAACCTGTTGCCCTGTTAAGGCAATTACTATTACTTTTAAATTAACCTTATGGGCTGTAACCAAAAACAAATCATATTTTTTTTCTTACAAAATTTTTTCAAATGCTTTTCCTGTTCTGAAGCATAACCAAGTCTTGTAAAAATTCTGGGGCTTCCTTTGTAAAGCTGAAACTGAACCTGCACACGGCCAATTCATTAGATACTATTTTGTTTTTTTAAACGACTCAGCACATCTTTGCAATCATGGAAAAATTTATGGACCCCCAGGAACGCTAAAATCTGCTACGTGTTCAATCAATTCAAACAAAACACCCAAAATTCATTAAGCATCCTTCCATTCTGCTATTGTGGGTGCACGGGGTGCCAGCGGATATTATGATCCGCAATTTCATTGACAGCGGGGAACCCTTCTGTTTTTCCAAGTTTTTGGTATCACGGCAAACCCTTAAACCTATCACGGAGCATCTGCAATAAAGGAGATAAAAAAAAACAATGTTTGTCTAAGAGTTTTAAATTTTATATTGATTTTTCACCCCTTGTTGACTTCCATGCACCACGCACAGGCATAAACTTGACCCAATTAGGTCCACAACCACCTCCCCTCCCAATCCACTGCTCTAGGTCATCAACTTTACGGGTTTAACATAAAAAGTTTTGATGTTTATCCAATTTCTGCGGCGTCTACTCAAGATCCCGTAACCCTGCAAAATTTGTTATTTACTGTCTGTTCCAATCTGTTCACTAGTTAAGACAAAATACAAATAAATTAAAATGAGTCATTTTTAACAATATAAATCAGTACTCAAAAAACATGTAATTTTCAAAAACTAAAAACATAATTTATTTGCACAATAAACAAGCTTTAACAAATGGCTGGCTTGCTAGACCCCCCAAATTTCTGAAAAATGTAGGTAAACAGCAAAATTTTTCATAAGGGCGATTCCTTTATCAGTTTTTTTTTTTTTTTTAAAATCAAGTGTTTTTTCCCCCTGGGAGGGTGACCAAAATGAAAGAAAAACCCCAAAAGAAAGAAAAATATTTTCATCATCATTCAACACTTTCACCATCACCCATATATAATCACAGTCTTTGCAGAGGTGCTCAGATACAACAGTTTAGAAGTCCTTCTAAACTGCCAATATCCCAAACCCCTCCTCTAACCCCTTGACCGTCACAACCCCCAATCCTGAGGTGTCTCCTGGTGTTGCAAAATTTAAAAAAAAAAAAAAAAATAATTTTTTCTTATGAAATGATAAAGAATCTTTTCCCAAGTGTAATGACACCAAAAAAAAAAAATTTATGGAAAACTGACAGAATTACACTCTCGCGAAGTTAGCAACCTCGGCGATATTTACAAATCGGCAATTTCGCCCACTTTGAGCCCTATTTTCGGCTAATTCCATTGTTTCAGTCGACCAAACTCATAGCTATTTGTTTAGAACTCCATTTTTTCTATCGATTGAGTACAAGAAGCTGCCCATTTACCGATTTCAACTACCCAATAACGTGGTCAGAAATTTGCAATTTGGCCAATTTCACAAAAATTAAAAAATATGACAATTTCAAAATAAGGTCCAGAATGAACAATGCAGACATTCCTGACTCTAAAATAACATTTTCTTTGTTCATCAGTCATGTCTCCAAGCCCCTCTGATATTACTCTTGCTTTCTATTTTGAATTTTTATTCAAATAAAAAATAGAAGATTTACTATTATGCAGACTACTGCAATATTGTAATAGTTGTACAAATAATGTCAACCCATTCATGACTGCATATTAGAATGGCTAGCTGGACATTTATTGGACAATGACATCATTTGTTTACTTTTGAACATCGGCAAAAATCAAACATTTCCCCTACTTTGAGCTCCATTTCCATGTTCTTTTTATAGTAAAACCAATCAAAATCACGTCTACTTCTATAATATGTTTTCCATTCTATCTAGTGAAACCAAGAAAATGAGAATACAACCATAAATACTATACGAAAATAGACCACAAAGTCAGCATTTTAATTAAAAAAAACGGTCGGAGTTTTTCTTTTTTCTCATTATGCACTGTGTGCTCCAGGATTTTTTTTATATGGTGCACACTGACCACACAGACCCATTTTCTCACATGTGGGCCTACTAGCTTTCTCCTGCTTGATTTGAAGCCGTTAGAATTTTTTTTTTTTTTTATTATCACACTGTCCAATTCCCACCAAGGCAGGGTGGCCCGAAAAAGAAAAACTTTCACCATCGTTCACTCCATCACTGTCTTGCGGCCGAAAATAGGGCTCAAAGTGAGCAAAATCGCCTTCGCGCAAACATCGTCGAGACCGCTAACTTCGCGAGAGCATAATTCCATAAGTTTTCCATCAAATTACTTTTGGTGTCATTATGATCAGGAAAAGATTCTATATCTTTTCATAATTTTTTTTTTTTTTTTTTTTTTTTAAATTTGGCGACCCTGAAAAGTCTCAGAGACGGCCTGGCGACCCTGAAAGAGTTAATATATTTATAGATGAGGGTTGTGAAAGAAGTAAATGGTAGGGTGTTGGGGATAGGAGTGGGATTAAATTATGGGGAATCAAGTACAAAATGGGAGTTGACACAGTTACTTTTTGCTGATGATACTGTGCTTGTGGGAGATTCTAATTGAAAGCTGCAAAGGTTTGTGGACCAGTTTGGGAGGGAGTGTAAAGGTAGAGAGTTAAAAGTGAACATAGATAAGAGTAGGGTGACAAGTGTATCAAATGATTTAAAGAAAAACTGGATATCACATTGGAGAGAGTATGGAAGAAGTGAACGTTTTCAGATATAAGGGAGTTGACGTGTCTGCGGATGGGTTTATGAAGGATGAGGTTAATCATAGAATTGATGAAGAAAAAAGGTGTGGAGCGTCGAGGTATTTGTAGACAAAAAACATTATCCATGGAGGCAAAGAAGGGAATGTAAGAAAGTATAGTGGTACCAACCCTCTTATATGGTTGTGAAGCTTGGGTTGTAAATGCTGCAGCGAGGCGGCGGCTGGAGGCAGTGGAGATGTCCTGTCTAAGGGCAATGTGTGGTGTAAATATTATGCAGAGAATTCGGAGTGTGGAAATTAGGAGAAGGTGTGGAGTTAATCAAAGATTAGTCAGAGGGCTGAAGAGGGGTTGTTGAGGTGGTTTGGTCATTTAGAGAGAATGGATCAAAGTATAATGACGGAGAGCATATAAATCTGTAGGGGAAGGAAGGCGGGGTAGGGGTCGTCCTTGAAAAGGTTGGAGGGAGGGGGTAAAGGAGGTTTTGTGGGCGAGGAGCTTGGACTTTCAGCATGTGTGAGCGTGTTAGATAGGAGTGAATGGAAACAAATGTTTTTTTGGGACCTGACGAGGTGTTGGAGGGTGAGCAGGGTAATATTTAGTGAAGAGATTCAGGGAAACCGGTGATTTTATACAGCCGGACTAGAGTACTGGAAATGGGAAGTACAATGCTTGCACTTTCAAGGAGGTGTTTAGGATATGGTAGTTTGGAAGGGCATCTAAACTGTCGTATCTGAGCGCCTCTGCAAAGACAGTGATTATGCATGAGTGATGGTGAAAGTGTTGGATGATTAAGTTTTTTCATTCTTTTAGGGTCACCCTGCCTCGGTGGGGAAACGGCAGACGCCTTAGAAAAAAATTATTATATGAAGGAGGGGTGGAGATATTTGCAGTTTGGAGAGGCATCAGAAGTGAAATATCAGCGCACCTCCTGCAAGACAGTGGAGCTGTTGCAATTCCAAGGGTCATTTGACTTGTGATGCATATGCACTTCTGGGAAGACAGCTATTGAATGAGTGATGTTCAATGTGGTTCCACATTTGGGTCTCTCTACCTTGGTGGGAGATGGCCAGTGTTAAACAACTGAAGTGGGGAAGCTAATGTATGGTAATTACCACATTATAAAATCCTACCCTCTAAACACATTGTGAAATAACACTGTATTTAAGAAATAGCTATGATACCTCTACTGAACGGCAAGAACCACCACCCCTCTCACTTCGTCTCTAAGCAGAGCCCCTCCTGGTTATCAGCCAGGAAAAAAAAAAAAAGGTAGGCTTTAAAAAAATGCATACCTGTCAGGATGTTCTTCGTTAATGAGATGTCTGGCGGTTTCACCAAGTTGCCTTATTGTTTCAGCATAGTCTGCTACAGCACACTCTAAGCTCTGATGTTTCTTCATCAAGTTCTGAGCAGAAAGCTCATCCTTGCCACGGTCTTCCACCATCATGTAAAGTTCCTGTTCACTCATCCAAACCTCAGCCTCACTGGCATCAAAGAGATATTGTTGTGCCTTCTCTGAAACCAAAAGTTTGGATCTCCTGTGTTCCAAAGCATCCTTCAATTTGGCCCAATGATCTAACAGGTCCTCTAGCAACTTGTGGAATTCATCTGCACTTTCATGTCCTTCTTCAATAAGTTTTCTGCCATTTGCACATACTAAGTTAATGCGTGGTTCATGATTATCAATTTCTGTACTTAAACTCTGGAGCTTTTTCTTTAGCATATGGACGGTGAAGAGTGTGTTACCATACTCTGTACTAGATGCCTGAGGCATCTTCTCTAATATCCATAATTTTTCATCCTCCACATCCCTTCTGAACTGATATGCTTCTTTCTTTTTTCCTAGAGCCCTGTTAAGCTCTCCTAGAGGACCTTTTAGAGACTCAAACTTTGATTCTACCTTTACTTTCATTAATTTAATTTCTTCGGTCTTATCCGGTGTCATACGCTGCAAATAATCAGCTTGACTTTCTAATTGTTCTACCTGTTTGGCTTTAACAGCCATTTGTGTCTCAATCATCTGTTGTTTCTGCATAAGTATATTTACAGAGGTGAGATCTATTCCAGTGTCACCACCCTCAATTTGCTTTTCCAAATCAGTCATCCATGTATCAATGTCATCGCATGTCTGTTCATAAAGCACTTGCCGGTTAGCATCAAAGAGACGTTCACCTTTTTCTTTGGTAGTGGTTTCCAAAGCATCAAAGTGTTGGTTCAGTTCAGTAATTTTGGGCCCAATGAGTTCAGCCATCTCTGGCTTCACTTTAACTAGCTCTTCTCCAGCCCGTTGTACTCTAATAAGCCTGTCTTTATTGCTGGCAATCTCTGCCTCAAAGGCCTGATGACGGGTCCACTTACTATGCACAGTCTTAGCAGAGCGATAGCTTTCATCTTGAGCAATGATATGTTTTTCTTGTACCCAGTCATTTAGTTCTTCACAGTCTTGAAGGAATTGATGAACCTGCAACTGATCTCGTAATCGTTCCATCTGTTCCATTGCTCTCTCCCTATTTTGCTGACGACGTTCTTCAATGTTTTCTGCTTTCTTCTGGATTTTATCTGCAGCAAAGTGCTCTTCATCTAAAAGTCTCTGAGCAAATTGACAAATACCATTTATCTTTTCATCATTGGCTTCCATGGTAGTAAGGAAGGCTTCATGTCTCTTTATAAGGTTCTCAGCTTGTTCCAAATTTGTGGGAGTCTCATCCTTACTGAGGTAGTGCTCCTGCTGACTGAGAAGTACTTCACCCTGCTTTGTGTCACGCAAGAACATTTGTAAGTTAAGAGACTGAGACAAAAGTTGCTGTCTGTTTTCCCACATTTGGTGCAATTCTGCCCAGCCGTCTTTAAGGGCTTTGAGACGTTCTCTCAAGAACATATACTGTGCATCATCAGCTGGAGTGACATCTTCAGCAGTTATACGTTCACCATATTCCATCATTTTGGTGTAGTCTTCTGTATAGTTGTCAATCTCTTCTCTGATAGATTGGTGCTGACTGAGAAGCTTCTCTGCTTCAGCAAGGTTAGATGGAATATCTTCTGAAGCAACATCAGTCATGGTCTTTGTCAGCCAGGCCTGGAAGTGATCCAGATCACGCAAGAAGCGATGAAGATCACCAGCCTCCTCAAGTTTAGCATCACGTTCCTTCAAGAGTTGAGTAAGCTGATCCCATACAGCACGAATTTGTTCAATACGTTCACGAATAAGCTCAGCTTCTTCAGGATGATCTTGACTGATTTTATCTGCTTCTCTTTCTAGAGAATCCAGCTTTGCTTGAATTGCTGCTAAATCTCGTTCCATACCAGAAAGGCGTCGTTGGAGAGTCATAATACCACTAAGATCAGTACCAAGATCAGCAGTCTCCATCAAGACTCTCTTCTTATCCTCAATCCATAGAACAGTTTCTCTGCATTCAATGTGGAATGTCTGAACACCATGGGCAGAGTTAAGTTCCTCACGTTTGCCCTCAGCCTTTTCTCGCAGCTCTGCCCAGCGTTGATTTAGTTGATTCTGACGAGCTACAATATCCTCTGAATTAGGATGCTCTACATGTAACAGCTGGCGAGCTAGCTGATTCACCACTGCAACACGGCTAGCATTAGCATTCATTTCTTGTTCAAATCCTTCATATCTGTGTTTCATGATCTCACAATCTTCAATATCCTTTGCAGGGACCATAGTTTGAAGCATTCTTTCTTTCTCTCCTATCCACTGTTCAACACCATCTGCCTCTGTGAACAACTTATACAATGATAGGGCATCAAGAAGTCTCTGTTTGCGCATTTTTGCCAATTCCAAGAGCTCTTTGTAACGTCTGTCAATGGATGCCAATCTTTCAACCACATCTGGTGATTCCCTGTCAATCTCATTAAGCTCTGATGCTTGTTGGTGAAGAGCTTCAATTGTTGTAGCATAATTTTTCAACTCTTCAGTAACATCCTTATGTTTCTTGAGAAGGGACTGAACAGTGGCTTCATCGCGGCCAGTATCTTCACTGGATACTAAACGGAGTATATCAAGCATCCAAGTGTCCACATCATCAGCTTCCGTGTAGAACTGATGCAGATCCACTGCATCAGTAAGTCTCTTCTTCCTAGTTGCAGATTTCTCCTTAAGGTTGTTCCACATTCCCATAATTTCATCGATTCTCTCTTGAATTTTGTCAGAACCAAAGTGCTGTTGGATAATTAGTTCTTCTCCAACTTTCACAACAGCCATTATCTGGGGTTCGTGAGAAAGAAGTTCTTCTTCAACTGTCTTGTGTTTAGTCAAGAGTAGGTTGACAGTAATGAGGTCATGCCCTATATCTGATGTTGACAGAATTTGTTCTTTCTCCTTGATCCAGTTTTCCTCCTCTGCCATATCCCAGTAGAACTGCCATAATTTGCGGGATTCTTCCAAGCGTAAACGACGTTCTACTGCAAGCTTGACTAACTCACCATAAGCATCTTCTAGTTGCTGCACACGTTCCAAGACAATGGATGGATCACATGGCCGATAACCTTCCACTTGCTCGTCATCGAGGAACCTCTGAGAATGCTCAATAACAGTCTTTACACGCTCACCCAGAACATTAATATCTGCTTCCAACAGGGAGTGTTTCTGCAACAAGTCTTCTACACCCATAAGATGTTTTCCATAATCTTCACTTAACAGGCGCACCTTCATATCTTCCATAGAATCTAGAATGTATATCATTTCTTGGAAGTTCTGTTGTAACTGTAGAGAAAGTTCAAGCCTCATGCGACGAAGACGCAAAAGCTCTAGCAGGTAGTTCCATAACCGTAACACATTATCCTTCCTGGCGTTGATGCGTTCAATATCATGATAACGTTCAGTCTCCAGCTCTTGTGCCACTGCAACAACAGCCTGTACACGTTCCTCGTAGGCAAAGATATCAGTCTCAATGGCTTCGTGTTTCTTTGCTGCTGCTTCCACTGCTGCCAAGTCAAAGCCAAAGTTGTCCTGAGAAACAAGCCTTTGGTTTTCGGAAAGCCAAGTTTCTCTCATCCCAGCCTTGCGGTTAAACCTAGCTGCCAGCTGTTCCAATTTTTCTTGACGAATGAGTTCTTCTCTCAATGCCAATTCACGCTCGTGCTCTGCCTTCTCCAAACGTTCCCAGGCTTTATTTATGTCACTAATCATTTTACCTTCTTTAGGCAAGTATGGCTTCTGATTATTGGCTCTCATTTTGGACTGCAGAGTAAAAAGTAGCACCTCAAGATTACCCTTTTCTACAAACTTTGGTGGTTTTTCTACAGTGCGATAAGTGTTGAACTGTGTCAACTGTGTTTGCACTCCAGCTAAGGAGTTGGCAAAAGCTCTGTCATTAAGAGACTCTATAGTAGTTTCAATCCACTTGAGAAGATCTGAAGTCAATCCTTCATAATCTTTGATCATTCTATCATTCTCCATGGCAATACCAACTACCTTGCCTATACGTTTGCCTTGGACTGTCTCCTGCTTCAATTTAGAAAAGTAGTGGTAGTATGTGACAACATAGGTGATAATGGACTTTTCATCAGGCTGCTCAACAAATATGTCTTCAGCATCAAGTAGTTTGGTGAGGCCCAGTTTGTTTTCAGCCACATTGAAAGCATTGTTAAGATTGTAAATAGGATTTGACCGAGATAATTTCTCATACTGCACCAAATCTGGCCTATGTTTGTGAATGATGGCATTAAAAGCCAAACCATCTCTCCAAGAAGTAGTGAAATTTCTAATGTTAACGTTGTGATAACCAGCAGTCTTCATCTGGCACCAGAGGAGGAGGGCATCCTTGGCACTCTTTGTCTCTTGATTTTCTGTCTCTTCTATGGTAATGTCTTGAATCTGGAAACGGAGGATGATAGTCCAGATAAGACCCAGGGTGAGACGTGCATTGCCATCCACGATATCATGTGAGCCCATGTTTTCCAAGTGGACACGCTGATCACGCAAGAATTGCAGAGCTTTGTCGACATTCTCCAGGCAGTGAATTCGCATCTTTCCCTTAGTGGGTCGTGGCTAGGGGGTGAGAAAAAAAATTCAGTTAATCCAAGATATAAAAGTAATAGTAATAAAATGGCATTTTATTATGAAATATGTTTATTCTGCATCTGGAATACATCTCAGTTCTTGCTCATTTACTTTTGCCCCCCTCAACTCCCTTTTTTTTTTTATATTCCATTGTATACCTGCTAAGCAGAATTCATTATTTTCACAAATGTATTTAAGTCTCAATGCAAGAACCTGGTGATAACTATTTAATATACTAATAAAACACTCTTGATAAAATCCTTTGACAAATGTCTCTACAATTTGAAACATATGAAATGTCTAAAGAAGGGTAGGTAACTGTAGCCTCTTCCTCAATAATGGAGAGCCATGCAATCAAAGATATGAATAAAAGATATAGATTTTGTAAGGTAGCTTCATAACAATTTACAAATGATGCTAAAGTGGAATGGACTGCTAGAGAGAGCATAAGAAAGTTTGGAGTATCAGGGTGAATTAATAATGAGCTTCCAATTGAATTATATTTAGAAAGAGGTCTGGTAATAGATATTGCTTGGATAATTAGACTAATTGCTACATTTAGCAATGGTGGATGCTGTGTAGCTGTGGGGATTAATATTCTTGTTATTTGCTGGATATGCTGATTTTTAGTAGTAACTGGTGGTATCTGGATACTACTATAGATCATTTTAGGCCTTCACATATGTTACACTATAATGTGTGTTAAGTAGCATTACTAAAAATGGAAGAGTTCTACAGGTGTGGTGTGCATGGCATGGCATGGCTAATATAAAGAAGGATATGAGGTATGAAGTAGTACACAATGACAACAGTTTGTTAAGCCTATTAATGGATGACAGGCTGATGGGTAACTTGTGGATATGCACAATACAGGAAATGATATCATTGGGCAAGAGAGAAGTGAAAGTGAATGAACTAAACGAGACAGTGGAAGGTATGAATAACTGTTGAAAGAAAGGTAAGTTAAAGAGAGCACTATAGTGCTAAGAACACAATGCTAGAGTGCACAGCAGTGTTTTGTGGTTATTGGAAGGCAAGTACATGTGGGAAAAGGAATAGATGGCAAAATAATACACATACAGCCTCTCCTCACTTAGCGACGTATTCGTTTACCGACGCCTCAGACTTACGATAGGCTCTCTGACCAGCATTCATACCTAAATAATGTATATTAGAGCTTATCTCCTCTATTCTGTTCATTTCAATATACAGTACACTACTGTATAAACATTTAAAAATATACCAGAAATGTTATAAATGGTGCAAAGGTGGCATTAAAACAATATCAAAGATGGTTGACACAAACTCTCTACCATGATGACACTCTTCAGGTTGCTTGTTCTATCTAGGCTGGAATATTGCTGCACACTAACAGCACCTTTCAAGGCAGGTGAAATTGCTGACCTAGAAAATGTACAGAGAACCTTCACAGCGTGCATAACGGAGATAAAACACCTCAATTACTGTGAGCGCTTGAAGTTCCTGAACCTGTATTCCCTGGAACGCAGGCGGGAGAGATACATGATTATATACACCTGGAAAATCCTAGAGGTACTAGTACCGAACTTGCACACGAAAAATCACTTGCTACGAAAGCAAAAGACTCGGCAGACGATGCAACATCCCCCCAATGAAAAGCAGGGGTGTCACTAGCATGTTAAGAGACCACACAATAAGTGTCAGGGGCCCCCGAGACTGTTCAACTGCCTCCCAGCATACATAAGGGGGATTACCAATAGACCCCTGGCAGTCTTCAAGCTGGCACTGGACAAGCACCTAAAGTCGGTACCTGACCAGCCGGGCTGTGGCTTGTATGTTGATTTGCGTGCAGCCAGCAGTAACAGCCTGCTGGTTGATCAGGCTCTGATCCACCAGGAGGCCTGGTCACAGACCAGGCCGCAGGGGCGTAGACCCCGGAACTCTCTCCAGGTAAACATAGTACAGTGGACCCCCGGATATCAGCCGGTGCAGATACTGGCCAAATTGGATTTCAGCCGGTGCAGATACTGGCCAAATTGGATTTCAGCCGGTGCAGATACTGGCCAAATTGGATTTCAGCCGCTTTTTTGGCCAAAATTCTATCCCGGATTTCGGCCAGCAACTCTGAAATCGGTCACATTGGACACGTCCACCCTCCGCACTGCTTGTGCGAGTCAGTCTGGCTGAGTTTTTTGGTGAGTGAGCAACACAGCTCATTCATGCAAACATTTCGTTAAAATCTATTGTTTTTTGTGGTCATTTATTGAGTGCGACTGCTAAATAAGCCACCATGGGCCCAAAGGAAGTTCCTAGTGCCAGCCCTTTGGTAAAGAATTCAGTGACAAAACCTTGTCCCACTTCAGGCAAATCTTAGAGACATCAGAAACAGATCTATCTGGACAGCTTTTTTGTGCGACAAGGGTGCAGTGACTCTCCAGCTGGTCCTAGTGCCAGTAAAAGACAAAGAAGGGACGTAACCCCAGATAGGGACTTAATACCTGAAGTCCTTATGGAGGGGGATTCCCCTTCCAAACAATAATCAGTCCTCCCTCTCTCCTCCTCCCTGTCTTCCATACGCATACAAGAATCTTCAATAAAGGTAAATGTGACGTTAAATGTTCATTTATCCATTTCATTAGTCATTTTATTTAGTTCTCATTGTTTATTGTAAAACTAAAGTTAATCTTTAAAATGTGTATTTTTTGTTAATATTTTTAGGTGTCTGGAATGGATTAATTGTATTTACATTCATTCCTATGGAAAATATTACTTTGGCTTTCGGCCTTTTCAGATTTAGGCCAACCTTCTGGAATGGATTACAGCCGAAATCCGGGGTTCCACTGTATTCTCCTCACTTAGCAATGAATTCATTTAACTGACGTGGTCTTGGGAATGGAACTCCATCATTAAGCGAGGAGAGGCTGTACATAAAAAAGGATGCTCTGGGAGAAAAAAATTAACATATACAGGTATAGTATTTTACAATGTAAAAAACAAAATGGAAGGCAGAGTATATGTAGAGAGAAAAGTTAAACTAGAGGTGAAGGTGTTCAAAGGGAGAGTAAACAAGAATGAGCAAATCTTTTATTATCAAATTTTGTCAAGAATAAATAAGCGAGAGAGATTAACAAGCTGGAAAGTTTGGGAAGCATAATGACTCGGCTGTTAAGAATGAAATAGGCAAAATGTTAGATAGGAACATGGAAGTGCTGGAAAGAAAAAGATGATTTTGAAGAGTCATTAAGTGCTGATGATGAAAGGGGGTGATTTCATGCATGGAACAGGGAGATGTAGGATCTGTTAGAGGTGGAAAATAGCCAGAGGTGAATGAAAAAAAAAAAGGGGGGGGGGGAGATAGGCAATTAGTAGGAAGAAAGTAAGTAAATCAGCTGAGAGAGAGATGGTGTTATGACCAAGATGCTGAAAGCAGGTGGGAACAGTATTTTTTAATTAGTGCATTTGTATAATATACAGACTTGTCTACTGCAGAATTATCATCAAAAAGAGTTACAGGAAAGTAAGATTACATAAAAGCAGGAGAAAATTATGAAGGGAAGGGGACACATTAACCAAGTGTTTACAGTAAAGTATGAGTGAATAATACTGATAAGGGTAAGGAGCTGCTTGTTGCAAATTTTAATGTAGAAAAGGTCTGTGATAGAATGGGTAGGGAAGCATTCTGACAAGTGTTGCAAATGTATGGAATAAGTAATTATTAAAAGCTGTAATGAGTTTTTGTGAGAATGGTGCTTTTACTGCGACAGCCACACAAATAATTCAAGAAAGAAATTGCTAAGCAAGTGTTGAGTAATGTACAACAAATATTTAAAAGTAATAAATGTCAATGAATGTTAATATGTGCTTACAAATATACAGTGTCCTCAAGTAAATTATGAATAAGTAATCCTATGTAAAATCTAAGATATTTTTAATAAAATTCTGATAAAATGCCTGTGTATGCACAGGAAATATGTTTTATTTAGTTATATATTCTACTTGCTTGCCCTTGAATTTATGTCATAATTCTTTCCATATTTTTTGCAGCTTATTAAATTTTCCCCCTCTTCTACCACCACCATCACTAACATACACATTACTATACAGTAATTTCATCACCCATTTTTAATCATCACTTTTGTATCTCCTCTTATGCTTAGTCTTCCCTTTACAAAGTTTTTACTTTGTCAAGCCATACATTTTTTTTTTATTATTTACTTCTCTACCCTAACACACAACTCTTACCTCTTCACTGCCATTCACCTTCTCTTGCACAACAATACCTCATCTTTCTCCTTAGTCAGGTGTCTTTCATATCTGTCTCGTGCATCTCCTCTATCTTATTATACATTGCATCTTCCCTACACTCAATTTACACTTTTCTTCCATACAACATTCTCTTTCCTACAGCTTTTCTTTAAACCTTCTATGAACCTCTTATGATTCCCTTTTATGTGACTTTTCTCTTTCTTATCAGTAATTCCTTTTCCTTCATTTGCTTTTCCAAAATATTCCTTTCACTATATCTTCATCCTCATACTGGATCTAGTCAATTCATACAATACTGTGACCACACTATACTCACTAGTCGTTCTCCAGAGAGAATCTCAAGAAGCTTGATGAGTTGCTTGCCATCTCGAAGGTCAACATAGAGGTCACCAATTCGAGCACTGACACGAACCAAATGAGAGTTCACCCATTTCATAAATGTTTTCTTCTGTACACTTTCACGCTCGTCTAAAAGAGAAGACACGATTTAAATAGCAATAACTTGAGAAAAGTACAATTTTGAAGAGTACATTAATTTAGTTGTAGCCCACTGTATTGGAAGGCTACTGAAACATACACAGAAGAGGAAACAAACAATTAGTAATGACAATCCCTTGTCTGTGCCTGGTAAAAATTACTAGAGTAACAAGAGGAATCCATCAGTAATCATGCACACTAACAGTGCCGAAGGAGAAGGGTTATCAATTAATGTAATGATGATAGACATTTTATGAAGTGTTACGGAACATGTTCTGGACAGTGATTTCTATATATACCTGTGACTGGTTTCGAGTTTTCCTACCCTTGCAGCTCTGCCTGGAGCCAAATTATGCTGTTAACTGCATCTTTATTAATGAGGCTGTTGCTGTTGGCAGAGTTAAAAGTTGCAAAATATTATTAATTATATTGACTTCTCACTTCAAAAACTACAGTACAGTAGTAGTTTCATGAACTACCAAACAGCTATTTTGGTATGAAATTATGAACCAACACAGTGACTAATTTATATCCTGATATTCATAAAATGAATATCACAATATGAATGCAATTTTGCTATCTGAAAAACAGCAATGCAGTGGAAAGATTTGGTCAATTTAGGAAATTGCTTGAAGCAAGTGCTTAAGATTTTTTCCAATACAGAGAATAACTAATCGAAATGGTAAAAGATATGAAGCAGTTTGAGGAACCTTTACCTTTGATGAGTTTCAATGTTTTTTTCTACTCCCAGAGCCTGGTCTTGGGCCAGGCTCTTCAGGTGCTTGCCTGGTCATCCAGGTTGCTGTTGCTGGCAGCCCACTGGACCACATATCCATCACAGCCCAATTGATCTGGTACCTGGCAAGGATACTTTTCCAGTTTCCTCTTGAAGACTTGAACAAGCAGTGTCTGACATCTTTTGGTATGTTGAATAATCTGGGGCCACTGATGCTGATACAGGTACATATATTATCATGCATCTACTTTTGTTTCAATAAGTATATAAACCATACCACGGGCAGGGTTAGAACCTGTGATCAGTCATAAAAACCCAGACTTGACACGCTAGCCACTGGGCCAGCTGGCTACAACAAGATTCATCCAACTAGGTATATATATTTATACACCGTAGGAAGGTTAGCATAGGCACCACTGTGACCACAAATGCAAGTTTTTACAGACAAATCTCCCACCAGCATGGCCACGACTAGCTCTAGCTCAAGTCCCCTCAAAGCCATCTTCATGACTCGCGAAATTGTGTCATTATGATTTCGTGGGGCCAATGAGTAAACATTTTGGATCTTAAGGCGTTCCCAGTAATTTAAATGCTATATTGGCTCTATCTGTTCCATCTCTGATATCACTCCTGCTTTGAATGGGGCCATTAGTACTGAACAATATTACAAATGAGAGAGCACAAGCAATATTAAGAGTGTCCCCATTGTCACTATTTCCCTCATTTTAAAAGTTTTCATTATCTATCTCATCTTCCTGGCTGCCATGGCATTTGCCTTGTGTTCTTTGAAAGAAAGGTCAGCCAACATAATTATGCCCAGGTCTTTTGTGTGTTTTTATTGTTTTACATACAATGTCCCTTATTACCACCGAACTTCATGTTGTTCTCCGCTGCCCACTGGAAAACCCTGTTTATATCTTCCTGCAATTTTTCAGTGTCTTCTATGGGGTTGACTTTCATGCTCATTTTAAAGTCGTCTCCAAATGATGACAGAAAATGGTGATGGATGTTCGGGTGTTTTGTCCATGTCTGCTATGAGGATAAGAAACAGTGGTGCCAGGACAGTGCCTAGGAGAACTAATCTTTTTACCTCACTGTTTCTGGATTTTGCTGTTTACTACTACTGTGTGTTCTGTGTTAGAAACTTTAAAATCCATCTGCCTACCTTTCCCATTATGCCTATGACCCTCATTTTGTATGCATTTACCCCATGATCATATTTGTCAAACAACTTTGCAAAATGCATGTATACCATATCTGCATTCTGGAGGGAGGGAAACTTGGCAGTGGAAGTAGAGTTTCTGCACTCTGCAGGAAGGGTGGGGGATGTTACAGTTAGGAGGATCAACTGAGTTATGTTAAGATGCATCTGACAAAACAGTAATCGAGTGAATGGCAATTAAAGAATTTCCTCTTTCTGGTCACCCTACGTCTGTGGCAGATGACCAGTGTGACAAAATCTATACTTCTGCCTCTCTTCAAGTAGCACTTTGGGCAGCTCAGCTTTACATCTCACTTGACATCTTCCTTTACATTTCCATATCTTCGATCAAAGCTTTGATCGAAGATATGGAAATGTAAAGCTATGGAGCTAAATACACACTAAGGCTGAACGAATGACCATTTCAAACTTTTTTTTTTCCAAGGCTAAGGGAATGATCCCCTTATATCTACATCACTACTTATCTCCTCTATTTCAACTGAAAAAGCCTGCTAAACAGGCAAAACATTGCAGCAATAAAGATATCAAATTGTTGCACACAGGTTTTGCTCATCTATACAGTTCTGTACTTTGGAAAAGAGCATATACTTTAGAAAATTATTAGTTAAAAAAAATCATCCTGTGTGTGTGTGCACACACACGTGCACATGTATGTACTCCCCTATTTATGGTTATGGAAGGTAGAGTATCAGTGTAACACTATTCACCGAGTGGCTACATTATTCGCTGACTGGCTTTTAGACATAAAAGGAGAGAAAATTTATTTCATTTTTTGGCAAGTGTGTGTTGCTGTTTGTACATATGAATTTGAAAATACAGTGGACCCCCGCATAACGATCACCTCCGAATGCAACCAATTATGTAAGTGTATTTATGTAAGTGCGTTTGTACGTGTATGTTTGGGGGTCTGAAATGGACTAATCTACTTCACAATATTCCTTATGGGAACAAATTCGGTCAGTACTGGCACCTGAACATACTTCTGGAGTGAAAAAATATTGTTAACCGGGGGTCCACTGTACTTTACATATAACGTATCATTTTATACACAACATATGGCCCATCATTTATTTTTCTTGCCTTTCATGTGTTTACATCACTGAAAGAATTGCAAATGTAATCTGTAATTGCAGCAACCACAAATCCCTAACTGTCTTGAACCGAATTTGATAATAGTTAATGAAAAGAGACTTCATTTGTAACACTAATGATGAGGGAAGCTACAAGCAACAGCAAGCTGATCAAAGATTGATGAAGGAATAATCAAGCTTATGAAACCTTCACAATTTAGGTAGATTCATAAGCAGACTGACATGTGTGAAGTCCCTTCAGAGCACTACTAATTTGTACCAACACCTCTGCATAATCTCTTCCCATCTTTCTCCACTTGGTTCTTAATTGATCACCCTTTTCTTCCTCGTAACCCTCTGACATGTATTCTTTGCTAACGTGCCATTTACTCCCATGTACATCAAGTACTGGTTATTTGGGCCAGAGACCAAGTCAAGGAGTTGGTGAGAACATTAAAACCATTACAAAAAAAAAAAAGTCCACTATTTCTCAAATATCAAAAATCATTCAAAATTTATAAAAAAAAAATTCCTTTTATCCTATTCCTACCTCAGAGTATGACTAAACAAATGCATCTTTTAACACATCATCCATAAAGCCAAAAGAAAATTATCAACTGAATTTATATACTGTATTCAGAGTTCAATGGCACTTCAATTTTCCAACCTTCTAGTGCTGAATAAATGCAATTAAATTACCTTTGAGTTGTTTGATGTGATGCTCCATGGAAGCTATATACCTGTTTTGTATATCTGAATCATAACTTGAAGTTCTTTTAACATTCTTGGCTTCAACCTTAATAAGACGCACTGACTGTGGGCGCCCACTATACGAGGACCAGTGCGAGAGCTCAAATTTGACCACATCCTTGCTGCCCAATGGGGATGCAGATTTATCAGATGGGCTGATACAGCTGGGTGAAGTAGATTCCTTTAACACAGTCTCTCTGTCTGCATCACTATCACTCTTTAGTACGTCTGGAAAACTATCCACAGTTTCTTCAAAACAAATAGAATGCTCACTAGTGTCGCTTTTATCAGTAACTGTTTCGGTGTTCCTGAAGAGTCGAGTAGGGTCGTTGGAAGGCTCCGATGACACACTGCTTTTGCTTTCATGTGCACTACTACTATCAATCTCAAGCATGTGGCAAAGCATAGCATCAGGTAAATTAACATTTATAGCTGCATCAAGGTGTTTATTGCACTTCTCTTCAGTGGACACCACTTCACAATGAGCAACGTTGGATGACCCCAGAGTGAGGACTTTACCCTCCAAATCCCCAAGGGACGCTGTCCAAGCATCATTAAGGGAGTCCTTCCATTCACTTCTCTCCTTAATCTGCTGTTCCTGCATGTTTATTTGAGTTTGTCTCCTTGCTTGCTGCTCATTAAGCTGACTACTTAGATCTTGTATATGCTCTTCATCTGCCACTGTATAGTGGTCTGCCATTACAATACTGTGTAACTTTTTTTTTTAACCAGGTTCACATATTTAACACCTGTTATTAAATTTGTTAATTTTCACCAGAACACAACCATCCATCTGGTCTGGTTAACACTCACTGACGTACTATATATAAAAACAGGATGTTCGTGCTGATAACGCCACAAACACTGAAGAAAGGATTCTACTATGTAAAATTTAACGAGTGCACTCCAACTAGTCAGTGGCAGAGGTGAGCACCAGTGCTGCTGCTGGTAACTGAGTACATACTCTTGTTCACTAACTTATCATCCTTATCACCATAAAGCTGCCCCTGCTACAATAGCTTTAATAACACATTACAGTAATTAAATTCATGGAGAAAGTAATACCAACAGAGACAGAAGTTCAACAATTTTTAGTGAAAATAATAATCAGAGGTAGCATCAAAAGTTAGACAATTAAAATAGAGCAGGACTTTAATATATTTTACAATATTCTAGCAATATCTTCCTCCAAGTCAAATGAAAAGTGTTTTCTAATCTTAACTGTTAAGATTGCATTTTATGAATCAGAGATTACATTTAATCATGGAGCAACTGACCTAAATGTTACCATTACTGTGAATGAGGGAAAGTACAGTGCATTACATAATGCTAGTATACAGGACGACTACTTAATTAATTATGTACTTTACACTAATTACTGGACTTATACCCTTATCAGCAACATGTACAAGTGCCATTAATTTTTTTGTATTTCTACAATATGCAATACATAAAAACACTACCTGATACCTGAAGGATATCCGATGGATATTTACGAGTGTCAACAGCCATGCGGCCCAGTTCCAGACCAGGCCTCCTGGAAGATCAAGGCCTGACTGACCAGGCTGTTACTGCTGGCAGCACAGTCCATTGTACAAACTGCAGCCCAGCTGGTCAGGCACTGATTCGAACTTTTTCATCTCTCAAAGACAACCATAAATTTTTTGGCAATTCCCTTTATGCATGGAGGGAGGGCATTGAAGAGTTGGGGGACCTCCAACACCCCCATTAAGTTCTCTCTCAAGTAATCATCGCACCCCTACATTTTAGTGGAGGTATTTTGCACTGTATGCAAAGCTTCTTGTTGTAAGGAGCGACACAGTGTTTAGGTTTGGGACCAGTCTCTCCAGGATTTTCAAAATGCAAATTATTATGGACTTTTATCACCTACAATGCAAGAATACAGTTGAAGGGACTTCAAGGGCTTCCAGTAGTTCAGATACTTGACCTTGAAGGGGACCATAAGTATACAGCAGTGTTTCCAGCCTGGCAAGAACATGTGACATCACTGGCTCAGCATCTCATCTTGAAAGTTCTAGTTATCCAAACTATCATTTTTCTTGCCATAGTAATGGCAACACAGTTATCCTTGAATGCAAAAATCTGACATTATTTTGCACATGGGACTTTATACTGAATGATTTTATTTTGTTTTGTATTCTGTTGTCTTTATTTCCTCCATTCTTAAATAGCAGAGTCAATGAAACTTGTCTTCATAAAACACACTACAGTGGTACCCTGGCATATGAACTTGAACACTTATGTAAGTGTATTTTTGTAAGTGTATTTTTGGGGTCTGAAACAAATTAATCTACTTTACATTATTCCTTATGGGAACAAATTTGTTCGGTACTTGAACAGCCTTCTGGAACAAATTAGGCACCACTGTATTGTCTGAGGCCCACCGGAACTATTTATATCCGCCTGAAGTTTAGCTGCATCTTTGATGGATGACACACCCATGACTAGTTAATGGTCCATGTTGTACCAAAATGTCATCATAATTCACATGGTGTCAACAGGCATGTATAGTGGAAAGTAACCATGGTGTAAACAGTAAAGTAGAACTAGTAGCAGCCAGAGGAAGAGACTTCTCTAACAGGAAAACCCACCACACTCAATTATACAGTACATACTTTCTACAGGAAACCGGGCTAAGGCTTGTGGCACAAGAAATGTTAAAAGAAATTAAAATTAAAAAATAGGCAAAGATCTCCATGGGGAAGTGGATCAGAATTCTTCCTTCGTAAGCCATGCGTGTTGTAAGAGGCGACTAAAATGCTGGAAGCAAGGGGCTAGTAACCCCTTCTCCTGTATATATTACTAAATGTAAAAGGAAAAACTTTCGTTTTTCCTTTTGGGCTACCCCGCCTCGGTGGGATACAGCCGGTGTGTTGAAAGAAAAGAAAGAGGCAAAGAATAATGTAGGTGAAATAAATTTATTTCTCTTCCTCTCTCTCACATAGACAGACACAGACATGCACAGTTCAAGTCAGTTCTTGATCAGCAAATCAGTGGTGCTTACTTTGGACTGCATGTGGCTAGTACCAACAGCCTGGTTAATCGGGTATCCCCCAGCAGGAGAACTGGTCTGGGGACCGAGCCATGGGGACATTGAACCCCGAAACAGTCTTCCAGATATTCAGAACATTCCAGGGTGGAGGGGGACAAAAGTGGGTTAATGTATAGCAGTGTACTGTGACCATAACTACGAAATAAATGGGTGCATCTATAGCCAGTTTAATTTTTCAGAAAACTAAATGAAATTCACTTTCCCCTGGGAATACTTTAAACTTTAATAAACCATACACACTAAATGATCATATAGAAATTGTACATTACTGTACTTAAATTCTACTTGCCAAAACCTGCACTTAGAAAAGGAACCTTATGATGTTCTGGACCATCCTGGACTTTATAATGTGCACCACTGACCAAAGCATCTTCGAGAGGTTCCTCTCCTAATGCGGGTTTTTGGTAAATTGTTCCAACCACAGTACTCTGACTATCCTTCATGTAAATTCTACACATATACATATGTATATGTTTTTTTTTTTTTTTTACCATAATTAAAAATATGCATGCAGCACTGCAGTATAATCTGACTGTTAAGAGATTCTCCCTCTCCCTCTCCTCCTTCTAGCAGTCATGTCTCTCAGCTGTGAAGTCATCTTCACCATTTTCTAAGTATGTTTCCATACTGTAGATTTTTTCCTAGAAATAGTTAAACAAGTGGTTCTATAGGGTCTAAAATTGACAAATAGGAAACTGCACCAATAATTACAATAAAAACCATTATTTGAAAGCTTGAATCTCATTGGAAGAGACATACTCAAGTCACTGACGAAGAAAAGATCTAATGGAAAAACTTTCAGGGTATTCCTTCCCTCCTCCCTGATAAACTACATCCAAACCATACCATGGGCGGGATTTGAACCCACAGTCAGAGAGTCTGACTGCTGGTTCAAATCCCGCCCATGGTATGGTTTGTTTGCAATCGTGTCGTCATTACGATTTCGGGAGTCAAACTACATCCAAAAAGTAATTTCATCATCCCTTTTCAAAAGAAAGGGGCTTTGATCCTGGATCTTTTCAAATAGTCTGGAAGAGGAATTTCCACCACCCGTTTTTCAAAGTTTTCGATCACTTCTTTTTTCTTAAAGGGGGCCCCCATGGGACCCCCACACTAAGGGTCTGCGTCCTTCTTCTTCAAAAACCCTAAAAGAAAAAACATGCCTTTTTTTTAAATTTTAAAAACACATGAAATTAAGAAATGATTAAAGCCCCAAAACGTCTGAGTTTAAAAGACACTAGAAAATTTACAGTACACAAAAAAATACAATACGTACAAAAAAACAAAATTTTATAAATTTTTATTTATTTTTTTTTAAACACACCGCCGTTTCCCCCCAACCAAAGGGAAAGGGGGGCCCCAAAAAGAAAACTTTCCCCCATCATTAAATCCATCACTGTTTTGCCAAAGGGTGTTTTAAACACTACAGTTTTTAAAACGCAAACATTAACACCCCTCCTTCAAGTCGGGGCACGTATTTCCCCATCTCCAGAACCAAGTCCGGCCTGCCGTTTCCCAAACCCCCTTCAAAAAAGTTATTTTGGCTCACACCCCCAACAGAAACCTCAATTTTTAAAAAACCAATTTGTCTCCATTCATTTCCTATAAAAAACACGCTCACGCATGCCTCCCGGGAAAGGGCCCAAGCCCCCGCACACAAAACCCCCTTTTAAAACCCCCCCCCTCCAACCCTTTTCCTAGGCCAAACCCCTTTCCCCCCCCTTTCCTTCCACTACAGACTGATACACTCTTGAATCATTCTGTTTCGCTCCTTTTCTCTCTACATTCCAAACCCAAACCTCCCAACCCCTTTCCCTCACCCCTCTGGCCCAAACAGTTTTGGTAATCCCGCACCTCCTCCTAACTTCCAAACCAATTTTCCCCGCATTATATTCACACCCACCCCCTTTTGCCCTCAGCCCGACATTTTCCACGCCTCCACCCTTTTCCTCCTCGCTGCAACATTCATCACCCACCTTCACACCCTTTAAAGAGTTGGTAAAACTATACCTCAACTTTCCCCCTTTTTTTGGGCCTTTCCAAAAGGAAAAAAGTTTTTGTCTCCACAGACTCCTTTAAATGACCACCACTCTTTTTTTTCCCCCATCAATTCTATGAAATTTACCTCATCTTTTTATAGACCCATCCGCTGAAAACTCCACCTTTTCCCCAAAAATCTTAATACGTTCACCTCCCCAACCCTCTCCCCCAATCTGAATTCAATCTTTTCATCCCCCTAATCTTTTTTTTATCCCCAAACCTTACTCTTTCCTGTATTTCCAAACCCTTTTAAATTTTTTTCTTTTGCCACCCTTTCCAAAATTTATCCACCCCTTCTGCAACTTCTCTTCAGAATCTCCCAAGAGCACAGTGTCCATCAGCAAAGACACTTTGACAACTCCCACTTTGGGTTTATTCTTTATTTTTTTAAAACTCCACGCCTCTTGCCAAGACCCTCGCATTTACTTCTCTTACAACCCCATCTATAAATATATTAAACAACCACGGTGACATCACACATCCTTGTCTAAGGCCTACTTTTACTGGGAAAAAAATTTCCCTCTTTCCTACATACTCTAACTTGAGCCTCACTATCCTCGTAAAAACTCTTCACTGCTTTCAGTAACCTACCTCCTACACCATACACTTGCAACATCTGCCACATTGCCCCCCTATCCACCCTGTCATACGCCTTTTCCAAATCCATAAATGCCACAAAGACCTCTTTAGCCTTATCTAAATACTGTTCACTTATATGTTTCACTGTAAACACCTGGTCACACACCCCCTACCTTTCCTAAAGCCTCCTTGCTCATCTGCTATCCTATTCTCCGTCTTACTCTTAATTCTTTCAATTATAACTC